AATCAATATTCAAGACGGCCCTGAGTACAAGCTGTCCAAATCTACTTTTTGCCTACAGCTTCCTTTAGAAAAGCTGACACTCTTTGTCATTCCTGAGGGTCCCACAAGGGACAACTGGCTTCTTGTTCCACTATTTCTAGTTGGATTTGGAAGCAGTGGCGTCACACAGCCATCGTTGGCTATTTACAATTTTGACAGTTTCCCACTGGTGTGCACAAGTGGGCAGGGCTTAAAGGATGTTTTGAAACACCCGCTCACGAAGCTCCCGGCTGTTTAATTACAACCGCCGCCCGGGAAGTGGTTAAAGGACAAAATGGGCTTTTTTATTTTTTTTAAATTCTTTATTTATGAACAAAAAGGGTGGGGTACATAGAAAAGGAGGACAAGCGGAGGCCACAAGGTCTCACACAATATCGAATCATAGACAATGAAGAACATATTTAAAACATGTTAACAAAGCTGTAAGATCAGGTCAAGTAACCGTACATGTCCCCGCCCTTAAGGCATTTTATGGAGAAAATAGATGACAAACACACTTAAACCAAAACAGGGACAGGAAGGGAACATAGCGTCGAGGCGAGCGGCCGGGTACAGCCCCAATATGTGGAGGGCTAGCCCGTGCCAGTTCCTCCTCAAACAGCACATACACGACAGACAAGACATTTACATACAAGGACTCACAAAGAGAAAGCGGAAGGAAACGCACAAAGATTGGGAAAGAAAGCGTGGACGGATGTCTCACCCCCCGGTGGTCCCAAGCCGCCCCCTCCCCCGATGGGCTTTTATTTAATGGGACATGCATATATAGATTTCACAGCTTTGGCAGTAATAATGTGTACATAATTAGTGTAGCTAACAAAGTATTTCATAATAAATTATTTTATTTGTCCTGATTTGTAGGGTATATCATATGTCTGGGATTTCAGTTTATTTTGGTCACAGAATACAAGGAGTGAAATATAATGTGGAACAATTTTAGAATGTGGTATGTTTGTCTCGGATATTTCATAGCCTCCTTGGCACTATATTTTCTTATACTTTTTTTTATTAAACTTATTTTTTTTTAAACTTTTTTTATACCTCCTTTTTTCTTTTTTCTTTTTTACATTGAAAAAAATGGGAAAAACTTTTTTTGTAAAACAGCGCGGGATCCCCCCTAAAATCTCTTACCAGACCCTTGACCCCAGCAGTAGCCTGGCAGAGCAGCAAAAAGGGGGGGTGGGGTGGAGAGTGTGTGCCCCACTCCTGCACCATACCCAGCCACATGCTGCCAATGCGGAGAGTGTGCTTTGCCAGCGGAAGGGACCCCCTGGAAAAGTACCTTGACCCCATGTCGATGGCCCAATGGCCAGGGTTGTGGGGAAGAGGCCCTTGTCCTCATTGACATGGCCCAATGTAGGGATCTGT